GTGATGATTGTGATAGTTTTAAAATGTCACATCTTTGTAAAAACCTGAGATTTCTGGGATGTATATGATTACCTAGAAAATGGTATCAGACTTACATTCTACTGGAAAACCTGCCACATTTGAGAAAGAAATATAATTGCTGAATACATTGAGGCTTCTGTGAATTCTCTTCTTGATAGTTTTTGAAACAATAATGTAATGTTGAGACTGCAATCAAAAGCATCATGATCTTTATTCTGTCAATGATTTTCTTACCATTAGGTTTGAGTGGCAATAAAATTTCCAAGTAAGAAAAGAAATTTTGCATCCCACATTTCTTCTTAAAATGATTACAAAATTAATCTGGGTATATCTGGCCCAGTATCTTTGAGATTAGTCAGATTGAGGAATGCAGTTCATGAATCATGTCACTAAGGCTCAGATTCTGTGAGTCATTGTCAGGAAAACAATTGAGAAGAACAACTAGAAGGACCTGCCAGATTTAGGAAGTTTGATTGAATTAGAGTGCTTCATAAGCTTTTTATTTTTGCAAGGTAATTATATTTTGGTAAATGCATTTTACTCTTTTAGGTCACCCTTAGCAATCTCTTACTATTTTCCTGAAAGACTAAATCCTTTGGCAGCTAACTATGTTTTTCACCAATTTATCACAAATGCTATATTACTGTATATATTTTGAGCTAAACATTTACATCCCCATAAATGGAAATTTGCCTTAAATTTTCCTTACTTCTTGCTTTAGAAAAAAAGAGGGAGATTTCATAGAATTTGGGCATTTTCTCTCAATCAGTACACTTTATGAACCATTGTCTTCCCACATTCTCCACAAATAAAATTCAAACACATTATAAACAATTTTTAAAATTTGAAATTAGAAGATCCTTAAAGGTAAAGTAATATAAATGGACACCTTTGTTTTCACTTATATCTATTTTTTAGGCCAACAGGGCATCACTGATGAGACAATGTATCCGTGCTTACAAGAGTTAATGCAATTTTAAACAGCATCAAATTCCCTTCCAATGTCTAAACTATGAACTAGTAATCTCTAACTTGGAAATAATAATGCAATCAAATATCTACCTATCTTCCTCTTTGAAATGTTATTTTTATTATTAGCAATAATGCCCCTGACACTTTTCAAAATTCTGTAAGATCATTGGTATGAGGCACTTCGCACTTTTTGGCACTGAGTATCATCTTAATATGAACTGGATTAAAATGAGCTTAAATCTACAAAGACTGTGATTATTATAAAGCATTTTACTCTTTTCCTGACAGCTTGACACCTAATTCCATAAAAGGGAAGATGCAGTCTCATTCAGTACATGGTACATATGAAGAAACTGAAATGTGTATCTGCATTTTATTTCTCAGGTGTCACTGATCAACCGCATTTTATTATCTTAAAACAGTTAAACATAAATGTATTTGAACAATAAGATTTCCTAAATTGCAATTTTTATCACTTGCATTATAGTGAATCCTCAGAAGTTCTTTATATTGGAAGCATTGTATGAGACAATTCCCTGGTTTTTATTCTTAGAAATATAAGGCTTTGGTGGGAGTGGAGGAGAGATGGGAAGAACATTGGTATGAATGGGGTGTGATTTTACCATTAAGTTGCTATTGTATACAAAATAAATTTAAATATTTTTTCTAATATTATTCTGAATATTGAAGCATATTTTTCATTTTAGCCACCTAAAATGCCATCCATGATTAATACAATAGACATTAAAATACAAGCATTATGTATTTGACAGAGGACAGACCAGATAGACATTGAATGCTCACGATTAACAAAAAATGTTTAAGTCAAGTGCTTAAAATGTGCATACAAAAGACAACTCAAAAAGACTTGTTTTATTAAAAAAAAAAAGTTAAATGAAAGTTCTGAGCACAGTTCTGATGAGAAACCTCTATAGCCTATGACATGCTGCTCAAGCATATTTGAGTTTTTCTACTTTGCTTCCTGTATCAGTATAAACAGTTAATTTTGCAAGTCCATCTAGAGTATGAGCTTAATTCATTTTTGTATACATTTGTCCCCCATTCTGCTGCATCTCTTTTGGCATTTCTGTTCTCTGGGATACCTATTGGTTCTCTGTGCTTTAGACCATGTTGCTTGCTCACTTTGCCAAAAGAGGCCTCCATATGTTTTATCCACTGCATCCAAAGTCTATCAGACTTTACTTATTTTAAGAATTATCCATTAATGACAGTTACTGCTATTTCTTCCCTTCTTACCTAGTTGAGAGGTGAGAAATATTTCCCTTTAAAGGGCCAGAGATATTTTTAAAGCGAGAGAAAGTGAATTTTCACAAATTTTTTATTAATTAAAATAAAATAATAATTGTAATAAAGTATAATTTTGATGGAATACAGGTCTGTTATGGAAATTAATGAATTTCTGTATCTCACCTCTGAAAATATCTTCTTACAAAGAAGGGAACTCTCAAATTCTAATATCAATCCAGGAGTATGTGATTTTAGTTTAGTATAAATGTATATATCTCTTAAAAGTTATTTGAAAAATTATATTAGATTATTTTTTTGGCTTTACCACTTAGCATATCATTACATTGAAGATTAGTAATTTCCAACTAAAAGCCAGGTAAACCTCTTAAATTTTATTTTGTCACAACTTATATCAAATTTGTATTGGGATTGAGATACTCATATATATATATATATATATATATATATACACATATATATGTATATATATATATATATATATATATATATATATACATATATATTTTTTAACTTTTGACAGCCTTGACATATATAAAGTAACTTGATATGACTTGTGATATGGAGAACTTGTCAAAATGATTTTACTGAATTGTAAGTTTCACATGTAAGCATTCTTTTACCTTGTGATTTGTAAACTGATTGATTAAAAGATATTAAGTATGTACAAAATTTATTTTCTGAAGTGATTCAATGTTTGGAAATAATAGTTGAGGTTGCTTCTTTTCATTTAATAAAATTGCTATCTTGGACTTGAGCTCGAAATATGCCCATAAAATTTTGTTAATGTTAAGCAATCCGGCACTTATTTGGGAGGACAAGTCAGGATATTCAATTTGTCATTTTGATAAGTTAATACACCTGACAGTGATTTGGTTCACAGAGTGAATAAAATTCACTCTTGACCCTATAGATTCAATAATACAAGATAGAGTAAAATACTTCCCACAAAATATGTTGATGTATAATGCAACAAGTAACCATAGACTTGAAGACCTCATATTTTCACAAATTTGTTTTGTTAAACTAAACTTCTTTTTGCCCCACACATGTTTTAACAACTATCAGTCATAAAATTTTTAGTACACCCCCTTCAGTTATTATTGAATTTTGTGTTTTCTCAACTACTTTGAAAATGTTCTTGTCTATTCTTCTCCATGCAAACCATCCATAGATGCTAATTATTTAGTTGCATCAAATTTGGCATTGCTTCTTCACACAAAGAGCAACTGTTCATTGTTGGTAAAATATTTTAACTCATGAAGAGACAATGAAACTTATTCTAAATCATTTGCCCTTATTTTTTATAGCTGCAATTGTAGTTGTGATTGATGTTCTGAACTTTTTGAGTCACTGTATTTGCCAAAAGGCTAATTTAAAGTTTATATTCTCTGAAAACCTTTCTTCAGCTACTGTAAGCATACATGATTTAATTAACTCTCCATCAGAACTGGCTTTCTTTGTTTGGACAACAATTGAGCCTTTCAGAATTTAACTTTGGTCACAGCCTAATTTTTATTGCTATTTTATTTTTGTGAAGAAGTTCTGGTGTGATGAGATATTACATTTTAACTTTCTAATTTTTGTGACTATTGCTTTTCTGTGAGTTGTGATACTGCAATGAGTGCTTAGTTTGCTAATGTCAATTTGTATAGTATCATTTTTTCACTGTTACAGTGTCATTGCATAATAAACATGACTTGTCATTTAAATTGGTAAGAGAATAATTTCTGCCCAATTGCTTTGAAGTTGTGATGTTCCAAGTTTGATGTTTTCTTCTTATTTTGACATGATGGGCATGCACTGGTAATAAAAATAAAGAAATAAAGTAAACTGTCATAGTAATACATGTAGCACTTGAAACCCTGTCAAGTAATAGCTGCATCACTTCAATTTTTAGTGCTCTAAACAGCAATACAAAATCATTAGAGTGTAACATAAGGTCTTTGACACAACTACTCTACTTTGTTATATTAGCACAAAAACATCCAGCAGTCACTGAATCGGAATTTCTCAGCTTCTTTGAAAAATATTTCCTCTTTATGGATCAAGTAACTTCTTACCAAATCTATTCCTACATATCCCAAAATCTCATAGAGAAAAATTATGTATTATATTCCTTCAGTATATTAAAAACAAAAAATATTCTATATCCTGAGGGAAAAAAATTAAATGTGTTACAGGCATCATCTTTTCAAGATGTTTATCATTGTTCTGGGTTGATACATTAGCATCTGTGAATTCATTGATAAATTCTTGATTTTTATTACATATATTAAATACCCTTATAAACACAATGTAAATTTCTATTGTAGCACACACAGGATAGATTTTAGGATGAGACAATGGTGCATTCATAAATATAGCTCTTAAGGCCATTACGTTGTAAAAGAATTGGACTAAAATTCTCTATACCTTAATTTGATTTATTTAAGTATTTTAAATTGTCTTCCACAACTTTGCATATGCTTAAATGAACACTAAAATGTAACACTAGTACATAACTTTCATAAGAAAAGTATTTCATTTCTTTTTTATACTCCTTTTATTTTTAGTATCTAGAGCTGTACCTGGCACATTTTCACCTCAATTACCTGTTTGTTGAATAAATAAAATGTGATGTCTCGAAAATGATAATTTCCTCAAGCAGAATATTATGTATGTGTAATGCTTTTGTGAAATGCATTTTTTAACTTTTATCATAAAACTTAAAAGTACTTATTTCCCCCCTCTTTCTAAAGCCAATGAAGGAGGTTGTAAGATCTCGCACCCCCATGAAAGAGCCAACAACTGTTGAAATCTGGACTCATCCTCAACCACAGGTATGAATGAGACATTACTTTTGATATTTTCTCCCTATTCCTTATGTAAGAAAGTTCATACTTTCCCTCTGAAGTTTCAGTATTTGAATCAGGTGGAAGAGACCGGTAATAGCTCATCAGAAGAAATAGCATGGAAGTGTATTAACATACATATGTACATAGGAGCCCTACAAAAATATGAAAACTCGAAAAAGGGCCAGATAGTTGTGCCTTAAATACTCTCTTCATAGGGGAAAAGGACATAGGAAGGTGTATGCAATTTTAGACAAGTAATAAATACTTTTTAGGAGAAATGAATGGGTCCCAAGGACAGATAGTAGCCTGAGACAAAGTTGCTCTGAGTTATGAATGAGGTGGACAAATTGCAATAAATGAGAGATAGAACTAAAGTGAGAGATAGAACTACAGTACCAACAAAAGTGGTTTTTGTTTTTTTTTTGTTCTTAATTTTTTTGCAACTATAGTCTCTCAGGAAGCTGTAAATAGGTACAGACATAGCTGGGTGTGGTGGTACACACCTGTAATCCCAGTGACTCAGGAAGCTGAGGCAGACGGTTTGATAATAATAGTATAGTTAGTTTATTTGTTTGATCAGTTACAATTTTTCCTTTCAAAATATCTATTAAATGATTGTCTCTTTTACCAATGTTTAGGAGAGTTCTAGGATAATGGGTTGAAACAAATTGAGAAATGTTTTATAATATGGCAAATTTAAGTCTTAGTATAATAAAGCACAATTTGTTTTATGTTAATTAGGCAAATATTAGTGAAATCTCAGTAAAATAAATTAGGAGAAATGCATTTGAGCTTTTATTTTTAACATCAAAATATGGGGTAGTTTTAAAGAAACTAATTTCACCCATCTCAGTCAAGATAGCCCAAAATGTGACTAATAAATACATTTAAATTTGTTTTCCTAATAAAGGCTATAAGGGTACTTTTAAAAACTAATGTGAGGAGACCAATATCTAAAAATTCTATATCATTCAATATTCTGTGTCTGGTTAATTTACTGTTGTTATGTTAATATGGTAAAAGTCCTGAATCTAATAGCTTGGTTGCCAGATGACTAGCCATAAATTGTTTTCCGTCCAGTTATTTTCAAATATCATTGTTTAGGGCTGGTGTTGTGGCTCAGTGGTAGAGCACTTGCCTAGCATATGTAAGGCACTGGGTTTGATCCTCAGCACTACATTAAAAAAATAATAAAATAAAGTATTATGTCCATCTATAACTAAAATAATTGAACAACCCTATTGTGTGTTACAAGGGAAATAAATTCAGAAATTTTGATACATAAATAGAGATCTGCAATATAAAAGTGGAAAGAGAATCAAATTTGTTTATTATTTCATGTGTGCTTCCAAAATTCACAAAAACCACGTGTTTTACAATTATCACATCCTACAGTATTTCACATAGTTTATGCTCTTTGGTAGACTTATAGAACTATTTTTTTAATATTTATTTTTTAGGTGTACTGTGGGAAGAAATAATTTCATAAAGGTAAATTATAACATAGTATCTATCCAAATTATCACAAGTTTTAAATCATTCAACCTGAATTTGGTTTTTTTTTGTCAAATTTCATATTCAGATTCTCATGTCTGGCACCTCTGATTTTTCCTCAAGAAAATTGGTGAAGAAATAGAATATGAGGTGAACCATAATATAATGATTTTCTACATTTTTATCCAAGATGCCTCTCATACGTTCAGCATCAGTTTTATTGACTCCTTGATGTTAAAACAAACAAACAAAAAACTCTGTCTTTAAAAGTTTTGAAGAAAAGTACACAATATATTTTTCTTTATTTATTTTTCACAGCTTCAGGACTTGACACTTCCTGGGCAAGTACTGTGCCACTGAGCTACACCCTGAGCCTTATACAATTTTATGGTATATAAATTAAGGTCCCAAAATTTGGCTTACTAGTATGACATAGCTTATAACTGGTATAATTATTTAGAAGTCAGATGGAATTAAACATTGTTATGTAACATATGTCCTCCATGAATAAGAAGATGCTCTATCAGTAATATTTTGTTTAGTCAAGTACTTACTACTGATTGTATTCTACTAAATCAAATGCCATATAACTTACTAATTTCTTACCAATTACTGATTTTTTTTCAATTTTTAACCAAGTTAAAATCTCCATAGAGAATAATGGGTGCCTACATAGTGGTTTCTTTTTGCTCGAGGATCTTTTATTTCATAAGTCTTTTAAGTATCTGATAGCCTTGATTGTCCTTACTGCCTGAGGCTTCAATTGCAATTTGACATGCATTATAAAAGTGAAAAAAATTAAAAAGTTAAAATAAGCTGTATAGTGGTAAGTTACATTGCACATGTAGTATTACTATGCATAAGGTACAAATAGGAACTTTTCAACCTTAGTTTTGATAAATATTGTGCTGGCCTCAGAAAAGTTTAAAGAAAATACTTTTCTATGATTGAGCTTTTATGCTTCTTTATGAAATATCTCATCTTCAATAAGATATTCATTACTCATTTGGGGGATTTAAAAAAAATTCTGAGCCAGGTGTGGTGGCGCACTCCTGTAATACCAGCAGTTTGAGAGGCTGAGGCAGGGGATTGCAAGTTTAAAGCCAGCCTCAGCAATTTAACAAAGCACTTAGCAACTCAGCAAGACCCTGTCTCTAAATAAAATATAAAAATGGGCTGGGGATGTGGCTCAGAGGTTGAGCACCCCTGGGTTCAGTCCTCAGTACCGCCTCCCCCCACAAAAAAAGCAATTTTCTGAGAAAAGAAATGACTAAAACTAGAGTCATTCTGAAAATTATTTCCATTTATCCATTGAAATCTTTAAATACATCAAATATTCAGATGTCACTAATTAGAATCCTTCATACAGGCAGTGAATTTGACAGTTTACTTTTAAACACATGGGCAAGTGCTATAGTTGTATCTTTTATAGCACAATGGTTCCTGGCAATAAAAGCCAACTATTCAACTAATTAAAGTAGTATGTGAACCATGAAATCATAGATCAACTTATCATATGGATAAAGTAGATCAAATGAGAGTGTCCATTTCCTTATAAGAGGAAATACATTTTTGTTAGTCTTAATAAAATATTTAAATAGCTGGATTTGGTGCATAACTGGGATCATAAATGTTCACCAGGGAATATTGTAGCATTGGTAGAGTACATAGATGAAATAGAGAGCTATTCAAAAACTGGTTTTTGACCAGCTTTACATATGCTGAATGCATATGTCAGTTTGTCTGAGGCTCTTATTTTTTTGTAATGTGGCATTTATAGTGGCTTGATCTTTTCCCTTTTCATAATGAATTCTCCCTCCATTATCCTTGCCTCTGATTTATAGCAATTATAATGCTTAATGAGCTAGCAAATCTAAAGCTGAATTATATTCTTTCAAATTGAAACAAAATAAAATTAGTATATTTCTTGAGGCTTTTCATACTTTTCTGACTTGTCAGTAGTAATTGCATTGCTTGTGAAAAAAACTTTTGTCACTAAGATAGTATTATGATTATGAATATAGAAAATGTCTTGACTGTCACTGCATTTCATAAAAAAACAGATATTTTGTTATCAGATCTTATATTCATGGAAACATAAACAGTTCAGCATGATAGTACTGCAAAACTTAGGTAGAATGTTTGGCTTGTATACATTATACTGTTTGATTTTAATTCCCCAAATCTATTAGCCACAGCTAATGAATGAGTCATATATATTTAACAAAGACCATTACTAATTTTGACTCAGACAGTAAATAAAATAGTGCAAAGCTGTTGAGTTATTCAAGAGAAATAAGGAAAGTACAAGTAAAGACTAATTGGAAAGGCTGATGGAAGGAAGTGAAATATTACAATTGAATTTAATTTTTTAATTTAACAAAACTTTTTGAGAGAGAGAGAGAGAATTTTTAAATATTTATTGTCCAGTTTTCGGCAGACACAACATCTGTTTTTTTATTTTTAAATTTTTTATTGTTGGTTGTTCAAAACATTACAAATTTCTTGACATATCATATTCCACACTTTGATTCAAGTGGGTTATGAACTCCCAACTTCACCCCATACACAGATTGCAGAATCACAACAGTTACACATCCATTGATTTACATATTGCCATACTAGTGTCTGTTGTTCTCCGCTGCCTTTCCCATCCTCCACCATCCCCCCTCCCCACCTCTCCCCTCCCCTCCCCTCCTCTCTCTCTACCCCCTCCACTGTATAACCCTGAGGGTCTCCTTCCATTTCCATGCAATTTCCCTTCTCTCCCCCTTTCCCTCCCACCTCTCATCCCTGTTAAATGTTAATCTTCTTCTCCTGCTCTTCATCCCTACTCTGATCTTAGTTACTCTCCTTATATCAAAGAAGACATTTGGCATTTGTTTTTCAGGGATTGGCTAGCTTCACTTAGCATAATCTGCTCTAATGCCATCCATTTCCCTGCAAATTCTATGATTTTGTCATTTTTTAATGCAGAGTAATACTCCATTGTGTATAAATGCCACATTTTTTTATCCATTCGTCTATTGAAGGGCATCTAGGTTGGTTCCACAGTCTTGCTATTGTGAACTGTGCTGCTATGAACATCGATGTAGCAGTGTCCCTGTAGCATGCTCTTTTTAGGTCTTTAGGGAATAGACCAAGAAGGGGAATAGCTGGGTCAAATGGTGGCTCCATTCCCAGCTTTCAAAGAAATCTCCATACTGCTTTCCAAATTGGCTGCACCAATCTGCAGTCCCACCAGCAATGTACAAGTGTACCCTTTTCCCCACATCCTCGCCAGCACTTGTTGTTGTTTGACTTCATAATGGCTGCCAATCTTACTGGAGTGAGATGGTATCTTAGGGTGGTTTTGATTTGCATTTCTCTGACAGCTAGAGATGGTGAGCATTTTTTCATGTACTTGTTGATTGATTGTATGTCCTCCTCTGAGAAGTGTCTGTTCAGGTCCTTGGCCCATTTGTTGATTGGGTTGTTTGTTCTCTTATTGT